TAAAGATCAATAGGTATAAACTGAGATAATAGATGATAAAACTGAGTGGAAAATCTACATTTTTATCTCAATTTCTTTTCTCTCATGAAGATGCTAAGCCCCTTTAGCATGGATATAAAATTTGGATATAAAATTGTGCTTGATAAGGAGAGTTCAAGACCTTTATGAATGTTCCGCTCTTGTTGAGTAAAGCATTATTATCCATGTTCTTATAATGTGAGATCGACATGAGATATATAATGGGTTATAAATTGATTGTTATTTTAGAAATTATAAATTTATTTATCGGAAGCATTACCAGTGGAAGTACAAAATCTTCTATTTTGACTTTTATTCATTTATTGTACTTTAACATATTTATCTTTTATTTTTAAGTGGAATAGATATAATTATGAATTAAGAAATATAATAGGATTAATATCCAAAGCTTTAAGTATTAAACTGAAACACCAAAATAGTTCTCAATTTTATCATAGTAATAAACATAAAAACTTATGTTAAAATAATCAATTACGAGAAATTATACTAGTTTTAAGGAAATTATCGGATAAGGAAATTATCGGATAAGGAAATTATCGGATAAGGAAATTAAAATATATTCCTCAAGTCAGGACTATTATTAAACTAATCCATTATAGGAGCCATATAGCAGGTTGTTCAGCAGTAGTGTATTGGATAAATAAAAATTTAGCTTGAGGGCGAGGGGGGGGGGTTGCTACAATATTTATTTTCTATAATTAAAATTATGATGTATTAAAACTGATTTTTTTTATATTACGAATACGAATGAATTCTTTATTTATACTAGTAGAAAGCCCGTCAAAAATGACGGGGAATGAGATTTTTATTCATTTTTTACGATAGATATCATGCCAGGTTAAAGCTTACAATATTAGGAAGTATCCAAGATCTTATAATTTTAAAAAAGTTTATCAAGCCCAGCTAACCCTTAATAATTTCTAAAAGATATTCCCAAGTCAGGTGCAAGCTAATATAAATTTTGAGGTTCCAAGCCCAGTCCTACCCATTATAATTTGAAAATTTTTTCCCGCCTCGGAGATGTAGGCCAATAGGGCGATGATCCGATAAGAAATCGATATCATTAAGAATTAAAATATTTTGTATAAAAAAGTTCATTTTAATACTTGTAAGGAAAAAATCAAGTTGACTTTTATATAAAGAGTTAGGTTTAAAATAGGTAAAATAATAATTATTTTTTTGTTTAAAAAAAGTGTTAATTATTCTAAGATTAAATTTTTTACAAGTTTCAATAATATTTTTACTTTTGATTTTTTCTGATCAAGGGCAGTTTATTTATATATTCGTTACCAATTTTCATGTTAAAGTTGCCACCTATGATAATAAAATGATTTGTATTAATTTGTTTAAGGTGGTTATTAAGAGATGTAATGAATTTGGGATATTCTGAGTGATTAACGGGAGCATAAATATTAATAAGATGGGTTATTTTTCCTTTAGTTTTTCGTGTAATTGAAGCAATGCGATCACTGATTGGAGTGAAATTGGATATATATTTTAGAATAGAATCTTTAATAATAAATGATACACCATTATGATAGTTATTAGAATTGAAGATTGTATAACCTCTTAATTTTTTAACAATGTTATTATTGATTAAAGTTTCTTGTGTCATTAATATATAGATATATTTTTTCTCCATTAATTTTCTTAATATAGTAATAATAAACCAGGTATATTATAAGAGTAAATAATTAATTTTTTATTTAAAGACATAATTTTAAGAAAAAGATAAGTATTAAATATTAAAATTTGGTTTTAGTTAGATAATTAAAAATGAAAGCAGACGATTTTATTTAGAAATGAAGAGGAAAAAAACAAACGATTTAATTTAAAGTTAAAAAATAACATGTTGAGTGTAGTGTTATTGAAAAAATAAAGTTAATTAATTCTAGGGTAAAGAAGTATTAGATTAAAAAAAATTATGTAAAAAAATAGATTACATAATTATAAAAAAAGATAAGAAAGTTAAATTAAATAAATTTATAATGTTATGAAAGAATTTTTATTAATAGGTAAAAAATAATAATAATGAAAAAGTTTATTGATAAATAGATGAGATCTTTGATAAAGGGGAAATAAAGAAAAAGTTATATATAGGAATTGGAGATTAGAAATAGTTTAGGATAAGAATATATAAATATTTGAATATACTTGAATCTCTTCTTAATTTGGTTTATGAAAGATAATATATATATGTATAAAGATTTGTGATATATGTATTGAGAAGATTTTGATTATAATAAAGATTATTAAATGAGTTGAATATTTTGTAGAGTACAAGTTTCATTAATGTGTGAGTGGTAGTGATGGGTGAGGATTGATGAGAGAATCTATAAAATACAAAGATAAAATGAAATAAAAATTAGCCTGAATCTTGAGGAAGAAGAAATATTAATTTTTGAATTATGTTTTATTCATGTTGTTTATTTCATTTATATTTTGGATATTAAGGAAAATTGATTAAAACGATTTAACATCAGCCATTTTCCCGCAGACGATTTTCAATAATTATTTTATCGATTACTTTAATGAAAAGGAATTAATTTTTCAACTATATTACACTATAAGCATCATCATCTGTTTGTATAAAATAAATAAAATCAACAAATAAAAAAAATAAAAATAAATACGTACCGATGACATGACGTCACGATGACGTAGTGAGGACATCGGAAAATTATAATATAGATTATATTTTAAAAACAAGGTCACAAATTGCACCGATATCTATAAATATATAAATATGAATTTAAATAACTTCTATACATCTTTCAATTCTTCTTTTTCTTTGGGCTGTATTTTTCTCTGGAAAGATTTCTTTCGCCTGAGTTGATCTATATTTTTATGTATAGATCTGGAGTCCATTCAGATATCGAAGGCCCATTTATATTTATAAACATTAAATTTGATATATTCTTGACTCTTAACTCTTTTGATCTACCATGATCAAATAATATGAATGTCCCTTTCACATTCGGCAGTATTACAGAACAAAAAACCCAGTTAGTATATTCTTAAATCGCTGCTTGCTATATCGCGCATCTAGGTTCTTAAGCCAATTTTTATTTCTAAAATAAATGAATAATTTGATTCAAATTTATTCAAATCATTTTACCCTCGTTTTCAAAGATATCCATTTAACGGGACTGTGTGTATTTTCTAGAGTAATATTAAATTGGTACTTTTTTTATCTCACAGTTTTGGATTTTAATTGTATATTAAAAGTGAAATATCTGAACCGAGTGACTACAAGCTAAATGAAAAGTGGGAATTTCCTTTAATTTTTTTTTGAATGAGGGTAGGCATCAAAGAGGGGTAGGGAAAATAAATACTATTTGTAGATTAAAGATATAAATAACTGAAATAAAAGAAAATTTATTAATAGACATTTTTACAGATAAGATTTTAGTACATGTCGAAGTTGTACAAGCTTGTGGTTAATGTTTAGTATGATTAGCAACAACTAGTTGATTACCACCAATTAATGCTTATTTGTTATTCCTAGCTTAAATAATAATGAGGACTTAAAGAGCTTAATTAAAATTTTTTATGTTATTAATAAATGGCTCATAATACTATTATTTTTATTAGTAACATGGGGTTGTTATAGCATAATGGGTGGGTAAATATCACGGATGAAGGCCATGAAATTTTTTTAAGGGGATAGAGGTTTATTTTGGAAGGGGTTTGTCACCAATGGATTTTCAATTATTTATTATTGTCAAATGTACCTAATAATTTTTTTAAAAATATTATTTAATCGAAAATGGTAAATTCATATAAGATATTCCAATTTATGTTTCTTTCAAAGTAGATTAATCTTAACTAATTCAATAAATATTTAAAATATTTTGCTAAATTTGAACAGTGTCGTTAAATCGATTCAATCATAACAGGAAATTTGACATAGCCTTAAGAAGGGGTATGCATTTTTAAGGTTGGCTATTCTTTAGGTTCAAATCTCGAAGAAGGCTAAGATGATAGTTTTCGCATAAAAATTTGATTTAACCTTTTTAAAGTTGGCTCAAAACATGTTTAAATGGAGCTATTTATCACCAATACTTGTTGATGGCGAGCCATCTATACTGGGTCTACTTAAAATTTCTATAAAAAGAAAACTTTTCGCTTATCTATTTTCTATATAGCTATAAAAAAAATATGGAAAATATTTTGACTATAATAATAAAAAGAAAAATGACTCCAAGTAACATTTTTGAAAAAATGCAAAAAAATTTAGTGGGGAGGGGGCTCAGACTTTTCTCAAAATTTAGAAAGAGACTAAAAATCAAAAATAAATTAGTGGGAGACTTAGCCCCTCGTAGCCCATTACGCAATACACCCCTGATTGTCAACCCATAGATTCTGAGAATAAATAGTTCATAATCAACTAAATTTATTTTTTAGTGGATATATATTTCAGGACTGTGATTCCTCTTTTTTTAAAAAAAGGCTCGGTCTCGGGTTGGGTTCAGTGAAAAATCGCTGTACCCTCGGGTTCGGTGTTCAGAAAATCTTTAATTTACTAAAATGGATACTCTAATTAGACCTGTGCGCCGATGTCTCAATCAACGGCGGCGGTTTTTTTAAATTTTTTTATCGGCGTTCGGCGGCGCTGATTTGGCCGCTGCCTACTAAATTTTCGGCAGCGGCGGCGCAATATTTATTTTAAAATTTTTTTTAATGAATTTAATTTATAAATTAATGTATTACATTTTTTATAATTTATTTAGGCGATCTTTTCTAAAACATTGTTAACATAGTTTAATTGATCTTAAATTATTTTCTGTCTCACTCCAATTTAAATTTATGTATTTTCTCATTCTCAGAAATAGACTTAGGAATTGTATTTTTACTCAATCAGAGTCATATCAACATCACATATAAGAAATATTCTATTGATTTTTATTATTATTAAAATAAATTTGGAATGTAAGCAAAATATAAAATATGAAATAAAGTCAGAATTTAGATTTAGCAAAATTATAATTGTCATGAATAAACAGTATTTTATCAAGATTTGTGGGACATAAAAAACTCTTTTTAGCATTGAGTATTAATCCAGCAATGATCGAGGCTATCTCTTTCGCTAAAAATGACCACTCAAAAGGAAGGCAAGATTTTATACGAGTATTGATATTGGCTGTATGGTTTATTCTGTATAACAAGGATACAGCATCCGTTAGGTGGAAAAGGGCGAGAGATTCTTTGACTCTTACTTTTAATTGGCGTTGGAAAATTTCGAATGCCGTATCTACGTCATTCTAAAATAAAATAATTTATTATATGGGGATTTACAGTATCAAGATTTTTAGCAAGATCAAAAATACTCAATTTGACTTCTGATAAAGAGATTATAAATGTGTCAGCAGCCTAGACCCCAAAGTCCAATTAAAAAGGACATTTAAGTTAAGCTAACATAAACTAGCCATTATAAAGACCTGTAGACCGGTCTAAAAAGGGCCATAATAAGAAATAATTTTTTTTTAAATCAAGGCCTTACCAAAAATTTTTTTTAAAATATCTCTAACCCAGAGAAATAACAATATTTTCACAAAACGGAGGCTTATAAAATAAATTTAAGTTACATCAATTAAAAAACTTAGCCAAACCAATTTTTTTTTAAATCAGGGTTAAGCTCCATAATGGAAAAGAATTTTAAATTAGGGATCAGGCTGTCCTTAAATTTTCGCCCTCTGAGAGCAATTAGATATTATTAATATTAAAAAGATTTGAAATTGTGCTAGTTTTTTTTATATAAAATCTGTTTTATTTAAAATGTTAAATTGAGAGTATTGTAAACCTTTTCAAGATATAATAAGCCCATGTGCCAATATAAATGGCAAGCCAAAAATTGGGTTTGTTTCCAATCAGAGTGTGTGTTAACTAGGAAATTTATACCATCATCTATATTTGCCTGCATGGTGTATACATGAATCAATGAATGAGTGCCCCATGCATTCAAAGGGTTTAGAATGAGACTCTGATTTATTTAGATGTAAATTTTTTAATTTAAACAAACATAAAGTTTACCTCTCTTGCTAAAGATTCGGCTTCATGATAGCAAAATAATTCAATTTTTGCGAAAGCAAACATGGCTAGTATATAGCTAATTGTAAAATAATGAATGAGCAATAATTAAAATCAATATGTAAAAATAAAATATTTTGCTTATTATTAAACAACAATGTAAAATATTTTGTTTAACATTATATAAGAAGGTAAAATATTTCAGGTATAATAATTTACTTATATCAGAGACCTGTAGACCCAGCAAAAAATTAAGACTAGAATTAATGAAAAATAATATGAAATTAACATTCAATTACTGCTCATATTTTAATTTTTCTATGTAGCAAAAAATTATCAAAAAAAATGCAGAGTCGGCCAAAAATATTTTTTCAAAAAATCCAGCTAAAGCTTTAACCCTTTAATCGAGGTTCATATCCTGTATATAAAATTTTCTAGATTTTTATAACTAATGGCCCTATTAATTAAGAAGCCCCAAAAACATCAACCCAATATTTTATCAGGTTTTAGTGTTTTAAACTACTATATATTGTACCCTAACTACTATATTACATTACCCATATCAAAATCCATTAAAAATTTAATATTATTTTGATTATGAAAATTTATAAACATGATTTTATGATTTTAAAGGTAATAATCTTTAAAACAAACAAATTATTACTTGAAATGAATTACAGCATTAGTATTTATGGAAAAACTACATGCCAGACTCAAATCTCTAACTTTATAGGTCAGTAGACTATCTAAATTAAAATTTTGTTGTTTAATGTTTTATATTTGTAGGGTTTTTCAAATAAGAGGAAGAGATGAGTTTATATTATTTAATTAGAACATTTGCTCTAGCTGAAGATCGTAATACCCAGTGTAAAATTTCTATTCTACAAACATTTTTATCATTAAAATAATAAAATCAGAAAATCTATTATCAGCATAATTGTGATATATAAATATAAGTCAAAAAAGAATAAAGGTCATCATCATAGAAATAAGGCAAATAATTTTGTACTTTTCAAACAAAATGATGAAGCGTTCACATTTGAATTACATCTTTTAATTAGAGAAGACAAAATATCCCCTTTCCTCAGAAAACTTTCTAATTACCAATAAGCTTATTATATTCACCACAATGTATTTCTGTTTTCCCTACTATATCAGGAAGATTAGAATTGTTACTAAATTGTTTGCTATATTTTCTTCATTGCTGATATTGCATAGCAACAATTGTTTGCTAATCCAGCATTAAGGAAAATAATTCACAAAACAATACATCAAGCATTACATTTTGGTATCATTTTACAGAATGAAACAACAATAAACTTTATGATCAGTTTGGATGTACCAATATTTTTTATCTGATTGGGCCAATATTTCACCATTTCTAAAATATTGGTTATTGGCCAATATTATAAAATTTTCCAATCTGATAAAATGGCATCTTAATTTAAAAAAAATAATTTCAAATTTTATAATACATTAATTTATTACTTATAATGTAAATAGATCAATGTTATTATATAATATGTGATTTATTATTAAAAATATTTTATACACTTTTAGATTCATGAATATAACCTATTTAAATGCATTATAATGGTATAGTTAAATTATAGATGTTTTACTATTAAAAGGTATATGAGATGAGTAGATGTAATGCATTGAAAATTAAAATGATTAGCATTGATCTTAGCAGACATGTTCAACATGTTTTTAATTATATAATTTTTTTCTAAAATCATAAAGGATAAAATTTCATTTCAAAATAAATGTACTATAATAATAAGTTTATCATTAATGGATTATCAAATTAACCTTAAAAATGGATTAATTGTTATTCAAATATATTGGTTAATTGTGTTTATTATGATTAATTGATGTATTTATGTTTATTTGTAAAAATATACACTGACAAAATTAATTACAAAAATAAAATAAATTATTCATTTATTTCACGATAGTTCATAAAGCCAGGACTAGGAGGTTAACATTTCAACCTCTGCATGTCTCTGATTAAAGTATATCATTAGAAAAATTAAATATAATTTAAATATAGCAAAAAAGAAATCATAGAATAAAATCTATAATAAGAATTAGTTAATAATTCATACAAACATTAATATAAATAACCTATATAAAGGGTGGTTTCTATCCAAATATTTAGTGACTAATATATAAATATTAATCATTTTGTCCATGTTACACATATAAAAACAAACATCATGACATAATTTAACAGCTAATAAATCTTTGGGATTTTTTTCAATAATTTTTTTCCAAATATCTATAGCTTCAACAAACTTAAAATTTTTATTAAACAAAAGTATTATAAAAATAAATACCTGTTTTTTAGACAATAACTTAATAGCTTTAATATGCAAATCTTCATTGTTAATCAAATTACTATGAAAATCCTTGATTGCATTATTTTCTACATTAGACAATAAAATTTGTAGTTTTGTTGAAAATTTATCATCATTGACTGGATCAACTAATCCAGAAACTAAATGTAAACCCAATGTTAACACATTTCCCATAACTACATAAATTTTTTAAAATAATATTGACCTATATATTACCAAACTCCTTGTATGTGGCAATCTGATTTATATTTTCTGCTAAAGAAAGCATCTTAGGATCATCCAATAATGTTATATACTATATTATATTAGTATTCAATTAAATATATATCAATACTTGTCTTAGAATTAAATCATATAATATACAAGAATCATCATCACTCTTTGAAAATACCATGCCATATTCCTCCCATTGCTAATAATATTTAAGGTTTAAAAAGTCACATTTAATGAATACTTTTAGATTATACAAATTGGTAAACATATTTATCGTTAAATTTCGGCATTTATAAATAAATTAACTTACTCACAATATTTGCCACCCTGAGCAATAGAATAAATTATTAACGCCCTAATTATACATTTTTTAAATCATGCATTATGAAAATTCATTCATTCATTATCACGCCAGAAATGGTTCGGGGCCGAAATATTCCCACAGCTGATTTTGAGTCAAAAAAAAAGAAAGAAGGTGAATACAAACAAGACACATTTAACATTTAAATTTAATAAATTATATTATAATCTATGCAATATATATTTATGAATATTTAATTAAATATAAAATATTTAAATATATCTATGGTAATATTTAAATATATCTATGGTAATATTTAAATATATATATAAAGTAATATTAAATTATATATAAAGTAATACTTAAATATATATAAACTAATTTTTAATAAATAAAATATAGGAAGAATGTATTTAAATATATAATCATCGCTAAAATTATTTATAATAGTTAATTAATTAATATAAATGATTTTTGTTAATAACAGAATTTAGACAATCTGACTTATGTTAATTTTCAGGTGTAAAAGATTAATCTGAAATTTCTGAACCCATCTGATTCTAAGCTAAAATAAATTTTACATTGATAGTGAAATGTGTATATATTTATGAAGATATTTAAGTGGATAGTTAAATTACTTCTAGTACTGTAAACGTTACTACAAAAAAGAAACGCTTTACAGACACTCGTTACATCTGAAAAAAGGAACCCGTTACGGTTACCTTAAAAAGGAACGCGCGTTGAACGACTTGTCTTTATCTAAAAATCTATGTAATTCAGATTTATTATAAGAGTCGTCATATGCAATGATTCTTAATAAGACTATCTATTAATTTTTAGGCGTTATAAAAAGAGTTCTTTCCCATGCTTAATGCACCCATTTTATTCCACAATAGCTTACACTTAGAAAATGTAATTTTTGAAATGGTTTTAGAGTGTACATCGTTATTTGGTGTTTCAATGTCAACACTAATAAAAAATAAATAATTTTGGTGCAATTAATTAATTTTTTTAATATTTTTAACAATATTTGGAGTCTAAAGCGGACACATAGTATATAATGATAAAATGGAGAGAAAAACGAAATATTTAAGGTATTATAAGATGCCTCCTCAAATTTAATCAATCAGGCAGATAAAAAAAAATATTTTGAAGTAACTTTTCCCCTCCAAGCTCTTATAGAAAATTCGAGCCGTGTTGCGTCCAAATTTTAAAAATGATTGGCACAAGTGTTGTTAATTTGCTTGGTTGTAATATTTACGAAACCAAGCCGAGGTTCAAACATGGAGTCCAGACCCGGAGTTGTTTATAATTTTTAAATAGCATAGCCCTGTAACCATCGTCTACATGACAGGATTTACACTGGATGCAAACCCTTTCAAAAACATTTGCTCACCCCCTAAAAAATTACCGGTGTCTCCCTATTATTATTTTCGCATTTTTTATTTATTGATACTATTTTCAGAGAATTTATAACTCAAATTAATCTATCTCTACTACCAACTATCGATATTTTGTGAATATAAAGAATTTATTTTTTAGATAATAAAGAATTTATTTTTTAGACAATAAAGAATTTATTTTTTAGATAATAAAGAATTTTTTTTTAGATAATAAATTCAATTAAAACCTCCATTATTTACAATGAATTAATTCTTATGGCTTAATGAGCTTGTTGAAATATCTAAACCTTTTAAATTAAAGAATAGCAGAAAGTTTTATTTGGAAAATAATGGTATGATTGTTTGCAATATATAGATTCGGTCGATGAATTGTATTATAATAATTCTATAATAAAAGTATTAATTTTTACAGCAATAAATTTTGTCCTATTTCATCTCAAAATTTAATAGATAACCCCCAAAAAAATTTGTCCCACCCCCATTAAAGCAGCCTAGCCCCCTCAAAAAATAGGATTCTAACTGTCCCTACCCCTCCCGCTCACGTAGACGCTGCCTGCAACCAAGTCAGCTTCGGGATAAAAAAATTTTAATCGGGTCTAGTTATGGTTTAATTAAATTTAACTTTATTTAAAAATTAAAATGCTTTTTATTTAAATAAATTAAAATATTTCCAGACTCAGAGCTAAAGTAAGGAGGAAGGTGCTAGTAGTGCCTAAAGATCAATAGGTATAAACTGAGATAATAGATGATAAAACTGAGTGGAAAATCTACATTTTTATCTCAATTTCTTTTCTCTCATGAAGATGCTAAGCCCCTTTAGCATGGATATAAAATTTGGATATAAAATTGTGCTTGATAAGGAGAGTTCAAGACCTTTATGAATGTTCCGCTCTTGTTGAGTAAAGCATTATTATCCATGTTCTTATAATGTGAGATCGACATGAGATATATAATGGGTTATAAATTGATTGTTATTTTAGAAATTATAAATTTATTTATCGGAAGCATTACCAGTGGAAGTACAAAATCTTCTATTTTGACTTTTATTCATTTATTGTACTTTAACATATTTATCTTTTATTTTTAAGTGGAATAGATATAATTATGAATTAAGAAATATAATAGGATTAATATCCAAAGCTTTAAGTATTAAACTGAAACACCAAAATAGTTCTCAATTTTATCATAGTAATAAACATAAAAACTTATGTTAAAATAATCAATTACGAGAAATTATACTAGTTTTAAGGAAATTATCGGATAAGGAAATTATCGGATAAGGAAATTATCGGATAAGGAAATTAAAATATATTCCTCAAGTCAGGACTATTATTAAACTAATCCATTATAGGAGCCATATAGCAGGTTGTTCAGCAGTAGTGTATTGGATAAATAAAAATTTAGCTTGAGGGCGAGGGGGGGGGGTTGCTACAATATTTATTTTCTATAATTAAAATTATGATGTATTAAAACTGATTTTTTTTATATTACGAATACGAATGAATTCTTTATTTATACTAGTAGAAAGCCCGTCAAAAATGACGGGGAATGAGATTTTTATTCATTTTTTACGATAGATATCATGCCAGGTTAAAGCTTACAATATTAGGAAGTATCCAAGATCTTATAATTTTAAAAAAGTTTATCAAGCCCAGCTAACCCTTAATAATTTCTAAAAGATATTCCCAAGTCAGGTGCAAGCTAATATAAATTTTGAGGTTCCAAGCCCAGTCCTACCCATTATAATTTGAAAATTTTTTCCCGCCTCGGAGATGTAGGCCAATAGGGCGATGATCCGATAAGAAATCGATATCATTAAGAATTAAAATATTTTGTATAAAAAAGTTCATTTTAATACTTGTAAGGAAAAAATCAAGTTGACTTTTATATAAAGAGTTAGGTTTAAAATAGGTAAAATAATAATTATTTTTTTGTTTAAAAAAAGTGTTAATTATTCTAAGATTAAATTTTTTACAAGTTTCAATAATATTTTTACTTTTGATTTTTTCTGATCAAGGGCAGTTTATTTATATATTCGTTACCAATTTTCATGTTAAAGTTGCCACCTATGATAATAAAATGATTTGTATTAATTTGTTTAAGGTGGTTATTAAGAGATGTAATGAATTTGGGATATTCTGAGTGATTAACGGGAGCATAAATATTAATAAGATGGGTTATTTTTCCTTTAGTTTTTCGTGTAATTGAAGCAATGCGATCACTGATTGGAGTGAAATTGGATATATATTTTAGAATAGAATCTTTAATAATAAATGATACACCATTATGATAGTTATTAGAATTGAAGATTGTATAACCTCTTAATTTTTTAACAATGTTATTATTGATTAAAGTTTCTTGTGTCATTAATATATAGATATATTTTTTCTCCATTAATTTTCTTAATATAGTAATAATAAACCAGGTATATTATAAGAGTAAATAATTAATTTTTTATTTAAAGACATAATTTTAAGAAAAAGATAAGTATTAAATATTAAAATTTGGTTTTAGTTAGATAATTAAAAATGAAAGCAGACGATTTTATTTAGAAATGAAGAGGAAAAAAACAAACGATTTAATTTAAAGTTAAAAAATAACATGTTGAGTGTAGTGTTATTGAAAAAATAAAGTTAATTAATTCTAGGGTAAAGAAGTATTAGATTAAAAAAAATTATGTAAAAAAATAGATTACATAATTATAAAAAAAGATAAGAAAGTTAAATTAAATAAATTTATAATGTTATGAAAGAATTTTTATTAATAGGTAAAAAATAATAATAATGAAAAAGTTTATTGATAAATAGATGAGATCTTTGATAAAGGGGAAATAAAGAAAAAGTTATATATAGGAATTGGAGATTAGAAATAGTTTAGGATAAGAATATATAAATATTTGAATATACTTGAATCTCTTCTTAATTTGGTTTATGAAAGATAATATATATATGTATAAAGATTTGTGATATATGTATTGAGAAGATTTTGATTATAATAAAGATTATTAAATGAGTTGAATATTTTGTAGAGTACAAGTTTCATTAATGTGTGAGTGGTAGTGATGGGTGAGGATTGATGAGAGAATCTATAAAATACAAAGATAAAATGAAATAAAAATTAGCCTGAATCTTGAGGAAGAAGAAATATTAATTTTTGAATTATGTTTTATTCATGTTGTTTATTTCATTTATATTTTGGATATTAAGGAAAATTGATTAAAACGATTTAACATCAGCCATTTTCCCGCAGACGATTTTCAATAATTATTTTATCGATTACTTTAATGAAAAGGAATTAATTTTTCAACTATATTACACTATAAGCATCATCATCTGTTTGTATAAAATAAATAAAATCAACAAATAAAAAAAATAAAAATAAATACGTACCGATGACATGACGTCACGATGACGTAGTGAGGACATCGGAAAATTATAATATAGATTATATTTTAAAAACAAGGTCACAAATTGCACCGATATCTATAAATATATAAATATGAATTTAAATAACTTCTATACATCTTTCAATTCTTCTTTTTCTTTGGGCTGTATTTTTCTCTGGAAAGATTTCTTTCGCCTGAGTTGATCTATATTTTTATGTATAGATCTGGAGTCCATTCAGATATCGAAGGCCCATTTATATTTATAAACATTAAATTTGATATA